TTAAGTGACGTCAGTTTAAATAGTTTAAGGCGAATAATAAAAGTTAAACCAGAAAGAGTTGATTAAAATATCAAATTATTGGAAAATATCCTTAATTTCTTTAAACAAATTTTGAATTATTGTAGGTTAATTGCTCTACATGTTCTTAATTAATATCAATAATTAAAATAAAGTACCACAAAAGTCCATTTATATAAAATTATATTTAATCCTTAACCATTTACTTAGGTTTTTTAATGTGCTCGAATTCCAGCAAGTGTAGGGAAGCTTAAACTTTATTGAATGGACATCCTGTCAAAAATTTTTCTCAAATAATTCTTATGTGAGACATAGCTGCACATTATCTATCCTTGCAAGCTGTTATAATTTTAGCAGAATTTTCTAAGTAACTCTTATCATTTCCTGAACTAATTTGTGAATACAAGGATAAATTTTATTCAAGCAATCTTAATGTAATGATTAACATGAAGAATCACTGATTGCAGGAAGTATAACAATCATTATCAGTAATTGGAGTATCTTTTTTAATATGTTGGTCTTGGTTAGACTCTAATGCCTCATTCACAAAAATTAGGATATCCACATTTGAGGCGCATTTTTAGAAGAAAAATATGCTGTCTGATATTCTTTTATAAAGTGAATGATGTTTAATAATCAGCTTTGATTAATTAGATATTATATCTACACTTCATAAAGTTCTGTAAGCTTTTTCTAAATTTCTTGTTTTTAAGAGCATTAAGTTCCTTTATTCAAAGAACCAGTTTTCTCCTTTCAAATTAATTGAAGTCAATTCAAAATACTTCTGATAGCCAATCATCCTTCAAAAATATTATTATTGATGGGGTCTCATATTGATAACCAAAAATAAAGAGAAGGGTGCCTCAAGCAAAATTATTGGCAAACTCAATTTAAAACATAAAAGTATACGAGAACGAACTTTTAATAGGATGGAAATAGTCAATAAATAGTTAAAACAGGTTTTTTTTTATTTTATTAATTTTTCTAAAAATTCCTAAATTAATTTACACCTCCTCCTTTTTCGAAAAAATCCTTAACTTCTGTTTAAATCTCTTTCTTTGTTATATAATCTATATATAAATAGATATTCATAGAATTTAATTAAAATCAATTCTTCTTCCAAATAATCCATCTATTTCACAATATATTCTTTAGAAATGAAATTTTTTTCTAAGACCTTTAAAAAACAATCAAGAAAAATCTTTCTTAAAGATTCAAATTATCAATAATTAAGAATTTTGCATCATAATTCGCTTTTTATAAATCTATTGTTTTTTTTAGGTTAACTTAAGACAAATAATTTTATGAAATTAACAAGGATAATATCAGTAATATAAATTCAATTTACAATTATCATTATATTCTAATACTTTGACACACATTTTTAAATCAAAATTGTCATTTAAAAACTCAAAATACAATTTGATTAATTAAATAGTATAATTTGCAAATAGGATTTTATCAAATTAATAACTTAAATACTAATTTGCTTATGGCAGACAATATATAGATTAAATTATAATCAAAAATTGTGGAGCTATAAAATTAAACTTCAAATATTTGTCATAGTATCAATTCTTATACCAGAATTACATGAATTGAATTTATGGTAAATGTTATCAGAGCCCTTAATAATTTTGTTATCCAAAAATATGTTACAATAATTACTGTTCTATGTAAAACCAACAAATTGATGGAATCAGGAATTAATGATTGAGCCTATGGAACATTAAATTAATTGAGTTAGAAAGCTTGAATTTAATATTATTAAATTCTTACTAGAGCGCATAAAATGTGAATTATTAATTTTTGGATAAAATACAATATATGTTAAGAATAGAGATTTGAGAATTTTTCTCTATTGCGAATCAGCTTAAAATAACTATCTATAAGGATCAAACCATAATTTATAACAAATATTATTTGTCATTTTTAATCCTTGTAAATTATTATATTTTGGTAATTGGATTAGAAGAGAAATTAAAAAGTTGAATTATTTTCATTTATTGAGTAAAGTTTGGTTTGGTTTGGTGAAATATTTTACAATAATCTGAAACTAGAATATTTCTCTAAGAAATTTTTATTAAGAATAAAATATTATTTTAATGTATTGATTTTCATTATTCTGTGTATTTCCTAATTTATATTTCTTTTGATAAGTCATCCCAAGTCACCAAAGAATTTCCATCATCACTTAAAGACCCAAATATAGAATTTGTTCCAAATTAAATGATTTACTCAAGTTTAAATTCTCCGTTTTGTATAATTCTTATACAATTGATATATTTATTATGTCTATTCAGCAATAATTATTTTAATTTAATATATTATTATGGAAATAAATTACGACCATCATTACCTTGATTAGGAATAACTTCTTTAGTTTTAATGAATTATTTATTTACACTATTCTTCTCATAGACATGCATCGAATTACTCTCTTTAGGTTTAAATGAGAAAATATTATTGTTAATAAAACCTAATCTATGTCCATAACAATCAACATAAATTTTTTAAACTACAATCCAATTTTTATTTTATTCTGAATACTCGATTAATAATATTAATTTGTCCCTTCCACAAGAAATAACTTAATTTTATTAGTCATTTAAACTTAATGAATAAACAAAATTTTGATGCTCTGTGATTTTTATGAAAAGATCCATTCATTTTGCTTTACTCTAAACTGAATAGTCCTATCATAACTGCCTGATATAATCAGATCTNTTTTATGAAATTAACAAGGATAATATCAGTAATATAAATTCAATTTACAATTATCATTATATTCTAATACTTTGACACACATTTTTAAATCAAAATTGTCATTTAAAAACTCAAAATACAATTTGATTAATTAAATAGTATAATTTGCAAATAGGATTTTATCAAATTAATAACTTAAATACTAATTTGCTTATGGCAGACAATATATAGATTAAATTATAATCAAAAATTGTGGAGCTATAAAATTAAACTTCAAATATTTGTCATAGTATCAATTCTTATACCAGAATTACATGAATTGAATTTATGGTAAATGTTATCAGAGCCCTTAATAATTTTGTTATCCAAAAATATGTTACAATAATTACTGTTCTATGTAAAACCAACAAATTGATGGAATCAGGAATTAATGATTGAGCCTATGGAACATTAAATTAATTGAGTTAGAAAGCTTGAATTTAATATTATTAAATTCTTACTAGAGCGCATAAAATGTGAATTATTAATTTTTGGATAAAATACAATATATGTTAAGAATAGAGATTTGAGAATTTTTCTCTATTGCGAATCAGCTTAAAATAACTATCTATAAGGATCAAACCATAATTTATAACAAATATTATTTGTCATTTTTAATCCTTGTAAATTATTATATTTTGGTAATTGGATTAGAAGAGAAATTAAAAAGTTGAATTATTTTCATTTATTGAGTAAAGTTTGGTTTGGTTTGGTGAAATATTTTACAATAATCTGAAACTAGAATATTTCTCTTAGAAATTTTTATTAAGAATAAAATATTATTTTAATGTATTGATTTTCATTATTCTGTGTATTTCCTAATTTATATTTCTTTTGATAAGTCATCCCAAGTCACCAAAGAATTTCCATCATCACTTAAAGACCCAAATATAGAATTTGTTCCAAATTAAATGATTTACTCAAGTTTAAATTCTCCGTTTTGTATAATTCTTATACAATTGATATATTTATTATGTCTATTCAGCAATAATTATTTTAATTTAATATATTATTATGGAAATAAATTACGACCATCATTACCTTGATTAGGAATAACTTCTTTAGTTTTAATGAATTATTTATTTACACTATTCTTCTCATAGACATGCATCGAATTACTCTCTTTAGGTTTAAATGAGAAAATATTATTGTTAATAAAACCTAATCTATGTCCATAACAATCAACATAAATTTTTTAAACTACAATCCAATTTTTATTTTATTCTGAATACTCGATTAATAATATTAATTTGTCCCTTCCACAAGAAATAACTTAATTTTATTAGTCATTTAAACTTAATGAATAAACAAAATTTTGATGCTCTGTGATTGTTTATGAACAGATCCATTCATTTTGCTTTACTCTAAACTGAATAGTCCTATCATAACTGCCTGATATAATCAGATCTTCAATTTTATTCACAATTAAACAAGTAATACTATAATTGTGTCCTTTAATTGTTTATGAGCAAACCCATGAATTGTTGTTATTAATTGACCAAATTGAAATATTGCCATTATCATCTCCAGATATGAACTAATCAGAATTTTTCATAAAATTTAATGTATTTACACAACCTGGTAGTAGATCTAATACTTGAATTTATTTGAACATGTCGTATTTGAATTCATATATGATTATTTAATTAATACAACCAACTGCAACAGTTGAACAATTTTTATTAAAAGCAAAAGAAAAACAATATTTCTCCTATTTAATGGAATTATTTTCAATAATTTAATAATTAAATGTTTTTTGATTATATGATTGTGAATGAATATTTTGATCTTATTTAAGTTAGAGTTTTGATGAGATTTTTGAACTGATTAAAGGTGTCAATTCTGAAAGGATGATTGATTAAAAGTTGGATTAATAAATAATATGAAATTGATTTATTTTTGGTAGTGATTATTGTGATTTAACATTATTAATTGTATTAATTGGGTTATCAAAAATGAATATCTAATCAATCAAATTATATATTTTTATCAAATGATTACTAAAATAATTATCATATGTACAACTAATTCTTTCTCCATTTCTTTCATTTAACATTCGATTTTACTTTATAACACTTATTGAATATATATTTTCTAATTTTATTAAAATTATTATTATCAATATATATTTATTTGATTTGAGATATTTATTACCAAATAATTATACATAAAAGTTAATCTGGACTTTTTAAATGATAATTATTTTTTTTTCAAAATATTAAATTAATAATTGAGACGAAGAAATATAAGTGCAAAAAGTTAAATAATTTCAGTGTCATTTTATCTCTCATAAAATGGGTCTTAATTCATACATTAAGTGATGAGGAGGTTAAACTTAAATGGATAAATTGAATATTCTTATTACTTATCAACGAGCTTATGAATAATAATTAGGATTTATAGAGCAGTAGGAAAAAATAATGTAAAGTGAAAGATGAGGAAAATGAAGGTTTATGAATCTTAATCTTAGAAAGCACAATATTTGGTCGAATAGAACTGAGAGAAAAACCTTGAATAGAATGGAAAACCACTAATAACAACAAAAAAAATTGGAGATACTTTATTGTTGTAATTTTTGATGTGGAAGAATTCAACTTTTAGCGAAAGGAATATTTGAATATTTTTAAAATCTTATAGTAAGTTTTATTATATTAAATAGAATAATCACATTAACGTATTAAATTTGTCTTTTAAAATAATACGTCTGTATTTCTATTCTATATGAATTGAAGGCTTCTAAATTTGAAAAAATTTAAATTACATAGCTAAGAAGCAGAGATAACTAAAAAGGAAAAAGGATATTTAATCAGTTGATGATAAATTAACTTTCTCTAAGCATAATTTGATTTAAATGGTTTTTCCTGTCTTCTTAAATTATAGTTCAATTATTTTAAGAATAATTTACACAATAAAAAATACAGATTGTAATCAGGATTTTATTTTATAATATTAATAGTGGCATTGATGTATCTTATCAATAAATAATTTTCATTACAACATTAATTAGTGAGGAAAGATAAATAATATATTCACCTATGTTTGAGAATTATATGGATTGTAGTCAGGATCTAAACTAACAAAGTCATAATTTAGCTACATTACTTCTATCACTTCCATCTAAATTTCTTCAGATTATCATTTACATATATATATATCTATATATATCTGGCCAGACGAAATAGTAAACATTATCAAGTATTTAGACATTCTCCTTTATAATTTTGTGACTCTCACTTACCCTTATTTATCTGTTTCTTTCCAATTTACATTTAGGAAATAAACAGTTATCTGAAAGGAAGATCTCTAATTTCTCCTATTTCTTTATCCTCCCAAACTTTAATGGCAGCATAAAACCATTAGGATGACTTAAGAAAAGTCATCAACCATATCTTCATCATAATCTGAATAATAGAATATGGATTTCGCATGGCCAATATGTGCAATTAAAATTTCTCTGCACTCCCTAATTAATTTAAAATACTTATATTGCCAGAATTGGTTCTCCTGAAATTTTGAGTTCCCCTTTTCTTAATAACTATTGTTTCTATGAATGACTTTTACTGATAAAATTAGACCTACTTTCTCTGCGGTAGTTTTCTTAACATCTGCAATTTCAGGTTTAATCTTGATGAATGGAGTTTTACTTGGTCCAAGAGATTGTGCTATAAAAACAAAATTCCCTTTGAATCCTTCATCTCTCTAATATTCATCCATTAGGCTTATGGTTTTAAAATAGCAAATTAATTGAATCCTTAGGATATCTCTTTATTATTCTGTAGCGTAATCTTCAAGCAGTTAAACATTAAGAATAAAGATCACCTTCTGAATCCTCTAATTCAAATTCTGACTTAGAGGAAAATAATTGTTAATCATATATATGTGATGGTAAATTATAATATTGCAAAAAAAAAAGGCTTTTCAAATCTTGATGATTTTTAAAACTATATAAAAGCAATTCATAAAGGTAAAACACCTAAAATCAGCTCAAATGATAGAGATGGCTATCAAAAATAATGAGTTACACCTTAGAAAGGTGACACTCTATCAAAGGAACTGAACATTCCTTTGATAAGAGCAATATAAGCAACCTTATACTTGAAATTCTATTTGAAAGCTGCCTAATTCAAGGCTACCATTTTTGATGATAGCAATAATTGGATGCTGTTTAATTTTGATCCATTCTGTAAAGTTATGTCCTGATAAAGTGGCTAGAATATATGTACTTCTTCCTTCCTGAGTTTAATTTATTTGCGTATCAGTTTTAGGTGATACTTTATTAAACCAGCTTTGTATATCTATCTCTGCTTACACTTGAGCTTAAACTCTGTTTCTAAAAGTATAGTCAACCTTTGCTGTGAGCATCTATCTTCTTCATGCTTGTACTGGTTGCCTAGATGGATATCATTTTTATTTTCCAATTAATCTAAAATGCTAATTTCCATTCTGAAAAAACTCACCAGCTGGATATAGTTGTAAGTTATTAGATAAATGGAGCTAGAAGCATATAATGTCTTGTTTATTCAAGAGTTTCTAACTTAAAATGCAGCAGTGGATTAATTGCAAATAATCAATTTTGTCTTCCTATGGCTACAAAGTGAATTAATACTGCATGCTTGATCTTTGATATCACAATAATAGTAATGTCTCACTGCTTCCAAGTAATTTGCATTTTGATTAACTCACGTTGTAATGGTGATTTTATATTTTTGGGAAGTACTAATTAAATCAAATGTGCAATTTTGCAAATTCTATTGATAATAGAACCTGAACCAAATTCTAAAAGGTTCTAGAATTATCTTGTATATGCTTATATATTAAAGGATTTTCTCAGACACTTTCAAAAACCTGGCTGCTTTGTTCGACTCGGATTGGCGTAGTGAAAAAGAGTTATGCAATAATCCAGAGTTTATTTATAAACTGCAGGCATTCCCATTTTGAGAATCAGAACACCGACCCTATTAAAAGCGACAAATTTTTATATGCTGCCTTCAGGCCATCTCATAAGATAAATGTTTGTAATTTGCAAGCCTTAATGTGCTTTGACTGCATCTAAAGGATTCACAAAATCCCCTCATATTTGATTTTGCACAGCTTCTTATTTCTGTAAAGAATAAATCACCACATCTATTGTATACTGAGTTTGGAGCTTCACTAGAATGTATGCTGGTGGCAGTGAATCCAGTGATACTTATTATTATCATCCCTTATCTTGTTCAACAACTTGTACAGATAGTCCTACAAGTGGTAGAGCTCAAATGTTAGCATCCTTATGTTTTTGTTTGTGATGGTAATTACAAAATTCCTAATTCCACATTCTCATTTAATCCTATCTTAGAATGTAGATTTTCAAACATGGCTGAAAATGCACACTTGTATATAAGATATATTAAAATTTAAATGAACCCTTAAAACTAATTATAAAACTAAATAAGATGTGCTTCTACCTTTATGATAAACTGGTAACTCAGAAAATGTGCAACCTTTGAAACTAGTATCCATTATGATCAACTGGAAGCAAAATTAATAATAGTATTTAAACATTCATTTTGAGGTTTTATCTAACTTTATGTTTATTTCATATGATTACTAATGTTATTAAGTGTACCTACTTTCTGAAAATTGTAAGCTTTCATATTACGAAGAATCACAAAATAAATTGAAGTAGTCAAAATCTAATTCAATTTAGTTTATCAAATATTTGTAAATTATAAACAGTTCAGTACTTCTAAATTTTAATATTGTTAAAGCTGAAGCTTACTTTTAACTTAGAACATAATGAAGAATGAATTAATATGAGTTTTTCTGGTTATAAGAATCAATATATGATGAAATAATATTGACTTCCAGAAATAAAGTAAGATTTAGTAAATGATCAATAACTTCAGTGGATTAAGAAGGTTCCTTCAAAGAAATCTTGATGAAGTATTGTTTATAAGATTGACATGTACTACTAGAATTAGAAATGAAAGATTTTAAAAGTAGCTTAAAAGACTGATCACTCAGCTTAAGGTTTATAAGTATAGGAAAAATATTGATGGCGAGTCCCTTGTTGATTCAATCTTAAACAATCTTTAGAAAAATTAATTTGGAAGAATAATCTTAAGAAAAATAGCAAAGAAATTATTTTATGAAATGGATGACTCATAAAGTTGTACTACACCAATTTATTATAGATAAATAACATAATCTGTGTTATGCATGATGTAATTATATTAAGAAGGTAGAATTTACTTTAATTTTTCAAAGGATCTAGGGATTATGTTTGAAAATGGGATAATAAGGAAAAGGAGATGAACATACTTATATATCCATCAATCTAAATTTCCAACCTAAAAAGTTAAAATATATGAAAGAACTAAGTCGATTTGATTATGGATGATTTTGATTGATATGTGGTTATATTTTATTTTGAAAAATTTACATAATATCCATATTTAATTTTTTGATTAATTGATTCAATTAGGTTTAATGTTATCAAATCATAAGTCAAATACTTATTTCGTTGTTTTTATTGTAGATTGATTAGATTATTGTAAAAGTTAAAGAACTGTTTTAAACGGTAATTAGATTAGTATCATAAAGTGTCTCTACTAAAATTAAAATCTCATATTCATACAAAATATTTTTTTTTACAATTTTAAATTACGATATGAAATCCAAGTTTAATGCCCCAAATGCCTTAAGGGTTTTAGTGTGGTTACAGGGACTTTTAAGGTTTTGGGGACTAATGTAGGGAGGAGCTGGAATAGCTGATAAAAGGAGGGCAAAACAAAGGGAGGTATCCTACTTCAATCATAAACTATGTGAGGATAAAGTTGCATCAACCCTAATTTCTATAAGATGAAAGAATAAGAAATACAATAAAATAAATGTGGCCCATAATATATTATCATCATCTACTTTTAAAAATATTTAAATTCAAAAAGCCCTCCTAAATAATTACCTTTATTATACCTTTTATTTATATTAATTTTAACTCAAATAGATATTAGTAAGTCGACAACACATGAGGTTTTCCTGGTTAGATCCAATGATTTGGCATTCATTATCATATAATTTATTTAAAAATTGATTTTTAATATGCGCTGCTCTGGCCTTAAATTCCATTCTAATAAGATAAATCTAAAATTTAGCAAATTTTCTTTATTAACTTTTTAGATATACTTTAACATTAATCTTTCAACATTCATTAATAACATAGGATCAAATCTCATCAGCCACCAATTATATGAGTATTTTATATTTTAGAGTTGATATATAACAATAATATTTTGACTTAAGGAGAAACAAAATTTTTTATTTCGCATTCTAAAATTTCAATAAATAAGCAAACGTAAATTAACCATTAATATTAACATCAAATATAAACCTTGAATACTTGAAGAAACAATAGACTTTTTTATAAGAATCTAAAAAAATTAGAACTTCTGTTTTTATATATATAAAATTTCATTTCTCTTATGGTAAATCCGACCTAGAAGGAGCCAAAACCTGATGCACCTGCATAGGGTATCACTGTAATAATTATTTACCAGCATTTGCTTCAAGAGAGCCGACATATCCTTTCATGCATTATTGATAAGTTTATTTTTTCAATAAATAGGCAATCTTTTTCGTTGAGTGATGTGTGCTAAAGTATCCAGAAATTCTACTTATAAATTTACAAGCTTAGGGATGGCAAAACATATTTAGATTCTGACTGATAATATCCAATTATATAATTGTATTTTGAAGAAGCATGCATAGTCTTACAAGTATTCGACTTTAGATAGAACACATCACAGGTTGAGTATTTGTTAGCCCTGACCTGCTTATTGTGACAGAAAAAGTTAGTATAATCACTATATTTTGATATTAACCAGCAAAATAATCAAGTCATTAGGTACTTGGTTTACTAAATTTAACGCTGCATATTTGCATTGCCAATCCTGATATAATGATTAAAAACAAGAATAACTAGGGATAATCAATGCTAATAATTAACAACTAGTTGTTTACTATTTTGTGTTTCAGCAATATTGTAACTATTGTAACAGATGGACAAGTTCAGGAAACCAAAGTTTTTAAAATTCACCTTTAGTAATCTCTAATTAAATACTGTGAATTAAATCTATGAGAAATAAAGCTTCCTCTACAACAATAATACTTACTTGTACATATATTGTTGTTTCTGACAATACTAAAAATATTTGTGAATTAAAAGAGATCTTTTTTAATTCTACGAAGGTTTGTGTTTGATTAATTAATTTGTAAATTGTTAAGACTTTGAACGTGTGAATGCTTGTGACTAATGACATGGACTTAATTAGCATCTTTGCAATTCTAATGTCATAAAGGTGGAGATAAATTTTGACTTATGCAAATTATATTTTTTTTCAACTTTAACAATTTCTACAGCCTTCAATCATCAACTACATTCATTACCTTGCTTGTAGTGTTCTGATGGAGCTATAATAGCAACTGAACATGCAGCATTGACCTGTTTATTGTGTTCAAAAATTTCCTCATATATATATCACCACTTGTTGGCTGCGATTATTATTATTGATATTTTATTTAAGATGCACTAAATGTTTGTATTACTTCCAAATTTTTCAGTTATCTTATAAATTATAGAGGTTATTTTCGATTTTGTGATAATCATCTCCTTAATGTAGCATCTGGATAAAATATCTACCACATTATCACCTACTCACTCATGTAATAAGGTAATACTCCTTGAAGTTTACTTAAGATAATGTTTATGTAGACTGGGAAAATAATTTGGTGATGCTAGTGACAAAAGTGAAAATTGATTAAGTTTATTCCACCAGTATCCCTGTTTGCCTAAATATATATCTCGTTGTACTATATCTGTTATTAACAATGCTTATAAATGCACAGTTCTACTTTAAGTTTACCTTATAAATAAGGAGTAAGTGATATTCTGCTATTTCAAATGAGCATAATTCTGACATATCAACTCACACTATTAAAATAGTATGTCGTCAGTATTTGTAAGTAAAATATCAAACACTATAATATTATGAATCATCAGATGAGCTTATAATTGCAATTACAAATGTTTTAATGCCTTTCATTTATTTTAACCATCTTTACTATTCCTTGTTTCAATTGTTCTATAGAAACTTGATCCTTTTTGAGCTAAATTGATTTCTGTTAATATATTTTATTGGATGCCTCAGTCTCAATCTCTTCGAAAACTCTCAGTCTTAACAAGAAGTGTATTAGTCTTCCCATGTATTTCTTTTATAAAAATCTTCAAATGTCCAATCATTTCTTAAAACTTGAAATTATCCTACCCAGGTTCCTTACCCAGCATGACTCTCCAGTTTTCCTAAGCAACCAGCTGGTATTTATTCCATTCTGTAGGCTTCTCTGAGAGAGTCCAACTCATTCTACATGATGTTGATGAGACAAATATTATGGTTCCACCTCGCTAGGAGACATGCTTCTAGGGACTTTGGCTCTTAGTTAAATTTAATGAAGGATAAAATGCCAGATTTTAACTAGAGAAAATCTCAGTTTATGAACTTAACATTCATACTTAAATTCTACAGTTATTTTATTGTCTCATATCATAGTATTTTTTATTCACAACATTCGTAAAATAAACGATGACCATTACAGGAAGTTTCTAATCATAAGATCTGTATTACCAACTTACATCTCTCCAATTTAGACAGGCGTAACACTAAAAAAATAACCATCATCAACTTTTAACTGCTCACAGTCTTATTTATTTCGCAAAACAGGTTACTCTATGAAACAGATTTAATACCTGATCCAAGGTCTAGGTCAATTGCACATTGTAGAAAGATCAATCGCTCTGGATTGTAACTTATAAGATTCTCAACTTACTAGAGGAAGAGTTTTATGCAAATTAGGTTGACCAAAATACTATCAATACATTAATAGATTGTCAGTGCTTGGTTAAAGTAAAATCTTTCTAGACCATAATTTTTACATTTAAAATGATTTAGAATTGCATAAATAGATCAATATTAATTAAATAATTTTCTACAATGATTATATTTCAACACTTTAAAAATGCTATTTAAGTTTTAGGTAGTTTGATTCTACTCTGTTTTATTAGTTGGAGATTAACACTTGTTTTGTTTTGTCTAACTCCTCCTTCTACGATTATGGCAATCGATTTTGTTAAAAATCCAAGCAATTGAGAAAGGAATATTAATAATCAATTGCTTAAGCTACACAACTTGATTCAGAAGTCTTGAGTAATATGAGAATTGTAAGGTCTTTTCAACAGAGGAAAGAGAGAGTAATTCATCTCAAAAGGCCAATTAAAATATTGTTAATTTTGGCAATAAATGGCACTATTAGGAAGTTAATTTATGGCTATTGGAATTGTATTAAATTTAAATTTGATAGCATGTAAAATATGAGTAAAATTAATTTGGTTATGGCAAAATCATCTAAATTGTAATTTAATGCTTAATGATATTTTTGTTTTAGATTTACAATTTTATTATTTAAAGTTGTCCATCCATTAGAATGTTAAATAACGTCATCATCTATTGTTACAGAAGGTTCAACACTAAAGCATTCTCTCTCAGCATTATAAACAGAGACTGATCAGCATAAGTGCTTTTATAAATTTAGGCCTCAACCTACCACTTCATTACCTAGCAACACCCCTTAAAATTTTACTACAATTACCTCAAACTACACTTGCATTCATTATTACTGAGTCTTTGATGAATCTTCCTAGAATTTATAAGCCTCCTCGTTTAAAGTTAACTTCCAAGTTATTGGCAATTTACATTACTGTTTCATCAGGTATACTCCAGGGATAATTCTTCAATATGTAACCTGCCTACTCTTTTGATTTAAAAATTATCATAATTCTTTTTAATTTAATGTATTCAGGAAATAATAAATCTAAAGAATGGCAGAATTATATGTATGCTAGGACTACATCCGTTTCAGAGATTGGTAAAGCAGTTAGAGTGGGCCCTATTTCAAATATCATCCCCTAAGTTTATTTTTTCTTGGGAGTAATTTCCCTATCCATTTTAATCTAAAATTTAGGCTTTACCTTTCTGTTATTTCTCAAAAATCTTATCTTCTATTTTATTTAATTATTCATTCACTAAAGATCTTTATTTGTTTATCTCTTCAGTTGATTTATGCTTACACGAAGAATTCAGAATCATATTTCTCCTTTAGAGAGTTGAAAGTTCCCTTTTAAGGTTACTAGTAATAAGTTAATATTCCATCATAATAGATTAATACTATTCTTGTTTTTGGAGGGGCAGTATATAATACCTGCACTTTATTTAGAAAGATAAAAATTTCTTGGAAGTAGGGTAACCTTCCAGCTGGATAGAATTCATCTAAAGTCTTAAATGATAACTTAAGAATCTTTTAGTCAAGAGATTTGAGCCCTAACCAGTATTATTTAACGACGTTTGAATAAAGTTGATGCACTTTAATGAGTGATTATGTTTATTTTTATATCAAAATTATTTATTTACACTGCTTCAATTGATTTACCAGGACTTTCATTATACTAACGACACATTGTTTCATCAATTATAGCCTTAATTTCCATTTCACATAATTCTACTGGAGAGGAATTTGATTAACTTTCCTTCCAAGAATTGGAAGAACACTAAAATAGAGTTTTAGATAAATTTAATACTCAAAGGTTATTTTCCTCTAAGAAACTAATTAGAAGAGATGAATATAACTTACCATAAACCTTTAACCATTTTCAATACTTTCTAAGAGCCATTATCTAAAGAGCTGTAATTCGAACATCCTTATAATACCCTCTAAATTATTTTCGTTAAAATAAATTTTTGCTACTTGGTAAGTCCAATAAAGATATTGTAGAAATATCTATATAGAACTTGAAAATCTTTTGTTGAGGAAGATTCTAAAAGTAACCGATATTATTTTGATCTTGATTTAATGGATCAGTTTTATTTTATTTATTGATCTAATATAAATTTGGACTTAGTTATTTTTATATAATTTTTCATTGCTAATTTGTTACTTTATTTTATAAAGTGCGATTATCGCAATCGACATTTGAGGAAAGGAATTTTAATATATTAAAGTGATTGTTTAATAATGTAAAATTATCATAGAGTGCTTAACTTAAATATTTTTATAAATATTTGTAAATAATTAAAATCATCTAATTATCATTCAAGAACTGAAAATTATGAAAATTTCCAATAAATTATGAACAAATGGAAGAGTTAATTAACAATATTATTGAGAAGTGGTTAGATAGATTAAATAATGAAAGTTGAGAATTTTATTAAACACTCGATTACAATTAAGAACTCAATCATTGTTTTTAACAAAGTATATAATCGAATAGTATCACTACCATTCGCTGATTAATGAATAAATATTCTATAGATAAGTTTGTTAATTTTTAATATTGTCCTAAACAAATCACACATTGATTAAATACATAACACTTGTACTCAATTCAAAAGAGATATCTGATATTGATAAGTTAATATGGAATTTAGGTTAGGATTTCAAAGGCCTTTAAGGTAATCAAAAGAATTAACAATCAGGTCTACTTATGATTTAACAATTACCAATTTATGATGGCTCAATTACCTTTTAGATTGGAGTTAGAAAAATAGAGATAGCATATCAGATTTAGAATCTATAGCTTCTGATAAGTTTAGATAAATAAAACATAACATTGAATGAAGAAAGAATTTTAATCTTCATTAGATATATCAGTTATTAAGAGATTGCTCAAANAATGATAACTTAAGAATCTTTTAGTCAAGAGATTTGAGCCCTAACCAGTATTATTTAACGACGTTTGAATAAAGTTGATGCACTTTAATGAGTGATTATGTTTATTTTTATATCAAAATTATTTATTTACACTGCTTCAATTGATTTACCAGGACTTTCATTATACTAACGACACATTGTTTCATCAATTATAGCCTTAATTTCCATTTCACATAATTCTACTGGAGAGGAATTTGATTAACTTTCCTTCCAAGAATTGGAAGAACACTAAAATAGAGTTTTAGATAAATTTAATACTCAAAGGTTATTTTCCTCTAAGAAACTAATTAGAAGAGATGAATATAACTTACCATAAACCTTTAACCATTTTCAATACTTTCTAAGAGCCATTATCTAAAGAGCTGTAATTCGAACATCCTTATAATACCCTCTAAATTATTTTCGTTAAAATAAATTTTTGCTACTTGGTAAGTCCAATAAAGATATTGTAGAAATATCTATATAGAACTTGAAAATCTTTTGTTGAGGAAGATTCTAAAAGTAACCGATATTATTTTGATCTTGATTTAATGGATCAGTTTTATTTTATTTATTGATCTAATATAAATTTGGACTTAGTTATTTTTATATAATTTTTCATTGCTAATTTGTTACTTTATTTTATAAAGTGCGATTATCGCAATCGACATTTGAGGAAAGGAATTTTAATATATTAAAGTGATTGTTTAATAATGTAAAATTATCATAGAGTGCTTAACTTAAATATTTTTATAAATATTTGTAAATAATTAAAATCATCTAATTATCATTCAAGAACTGAAAATTATGAAAATTTCCAATAAATTATGAACAAATGGAAGAGTTAATTAACAATATTATTGAGAAGTGGTTAGATAGATTAAATAATGAAAGTTGAGAATTTTATTAAACACTCGATTACAATTAAGAACTCAATCATTGTTTTTAACAAAGTATATAATCGAATAGTATCACTACCATTCGCTGATTAATGAATAAATATTCTATAGATAAGTTTGTTAATTTTTAATATTGTCCTAAACAAATCACACATTGATTAAATACATAACACTTGTACTCAATTCAAAAGAGATATCTGATATTGATAAGTTAATATGGAATTTAGGTTAGGATTTCAAAGGCCTTTAAGGTAATCAAAAGAATTAACAATCAGGTCTACTTATGATTTAACAATTACCAATTTATGATGGCTCAATTACCTTTTAGATTGGAGTTAGAAAAATAGAGATAGCATATCAGATTTAGAATCTATAGCTTCTGATAAGTTTAGATAAATAAAACATAACATTGAATGAAGAAAGAATTTTAATCTTCATTAGATATATCAGTTATTAAGAGATTGCTCAAATTAACATCTGCTAGAAAAAATATTAAATATTATTGAACTTTGAGAATAAGAGGATTAAAATAAAACTGATTCAGTCAATAAAGAGACAATTTATTCTTGTAATAACAACTGTAATGTATACTATCTTATTAATAATAAATAAGGAGTTCATGTAGATTAAATATCATAAGTAAATTGTATTAGTTTGACTCCAGAAAATTAGCATTTACTATTGAATCGAAAAGAAAGACAATCTGGCTTTATATATAGGGTATATAAAAATTAATTATTCTTAGTATTTGCTTAATTATCATTTTCATTAAAATGTATCCTTGCTTTGTTTTATAAAAAAATAAATACCTTAAGTGTTTTTATATTCAAATAAAAATCTAAATTTCCTATTCACACATAAAAAGGTTTAAACATAACCATATAAATTAGAGGAGTAATAATTTTCTTTTTTTATCATTTCATAATTTATATAAATAATTTAGATTACTGTGTCTTCTGCATTTGATATATATTGTGGAGCTGGGGTAATAAATAGTGATTAGATAAGGAAACCGTATAAGAAAGACCATTAAGAGATAACATAAAGGAAATAAATTAATCAATAAGTGTTTACTTGTTATTGAATTAGATGACAGAATCATTACAAAATTCAAAGGGATAATTCAGAACTTAAAGAAAAAAAACACGATTATTTTTAAGATATAATTGGAATTGATGGATAGATTAGGTGAATTTGTGTTAACAGGCAAATCTCGGTTTATTCAACAGGATTAAATTGCGATTATATAAGCTAAATAAATGATATTATTATTTTCCCATCACCAGACTCATCAATTCATTTTCTTGATACTTACAAGGCAATTCCTTCAATTATTATGATAACTATAATTATTCAATTTACAAAAAATAGATTAGCAATATGATTTTGATTATGTGGATTATTCGAGTCTAAATAGCTTGGCAACATAGGCAAATCATCCATACTTAATAAAGAGGATTTATCCATATGAATAATTTCAAATTTATTTCAATTATATTTTCTAATCTGATTTTATGATTTTTTCCAGTAATATGGCAGAATTTGATTAATTAATCATTGCACTAGAAACTAATAAAATTATAGTAGATTCATAATATCTCGTAAGATATACCCAGTTTGATTCAATCAATGCTAAAAAACACGTTAGGTATGTATGTGAATAAAGAGCTTCAATAAGGTAATTTTCTGAGGATAGAGAACAAGTAGTTGAGGTGTAAATAATTAAAGAGAATATCTTATGCTGAAGATTCTTAATATGACATCACTCTTTACATTGTTCATATAGCCCGTTTGTATAGTTTTTTCAATTGCTTTTTCCAATAAATTTTTAACTTCCAAATCCAAAGAATAACTTTGGATATGAATCTTAAGTGTTAAGATTTCATATATGGTTTTTAAGTCTATAGAGACATTTTCAATTGGGCTGAGGACTGGTATTTAGTATCTATCAAGAAAAAGTTGTGAACAATGGCAATAAATCAACTATGTAACAATGAAAAATAAATCTATTTGTGGTAAAACATATTTGAATCTCATTATAAATTGAAATAAAAGGAATTTAAAATCGGTATCAGTTACTTTATATTAGAATCGCGTTTGATGTTCAAAAAAAATGTTATGAAAACTAAATATCGCTATTAGGATATTGAATTTCTCCCTTTATTTAGCTATTCACTTTTAACTTCATGTCTCAGATAATATACATAGATCATATAGAAATGTAGAAATCAC